ACCCATAAGCTTGCTAAGAACTTCTTTCCAATGACTCAGTTGGTCTAAGTAATAAAAGATATCACATCTGCTCAAAGAACCTTGCCTACCTATGTCCGTAGAGCAACAAGGCTACAACCAAAAAACCAAGCACCATTGATGGTACTTCAGCTTTTTGCAAAACTGAATTATTGTCTGGAGGAGGATTACAATATTTAACTTATCAATTAATAATGCAAGTGATTAAATCTCCATGATCTGCAGTGCAGAGAACCCTGTTGTTTTGTAAAGTAATGTGGATATACTGCAAATCTCCATCACCTTGCTCCCACAGCTGCAGATGGCTATGACTACCACAGTATTAATGCAGATCCACTGAATATAGGAAGAGGTAGAATACCAGGATCCTGTGCAGGCAGCCTGCAGAGTTGTGTATTTCAAGTAAACTCAAATGAGGAATAATCAGCATTTTACAGTCATCTGGAAAAAACAGTTTTGACTGTGATCAGTTATCGACTGAGTTTAATAAAACAACCAGTTACTTCTGAGCAGTCTTTTTCATAAGCCAATTACAGAGAATCAGTCTCATGGGCCACAGAGAGAAAAAGCTAGCGAGCAATCTATTCTAATGGTCAAAGTATAGAGAAAGAATGGAGTCTGCTGTTACTTTGGGCAGGAAGGAGCTAGAAGCACTGGAGCCCATTTGTGTGGCCTTGAAAGAAAGCAAACAACTTCTTTCAAAGATTTGTTCATGGATTGGGCAGCAAGAGACTCTGTGTAAGCTAGCTGGCTGTAAGCCTTTACTGAGCCATGGCCTTCTTGGCACATCATCAGCGAGGCCTGCATCAGTGAGGGAAGCAAGTCTTTAAGTGTACCCAATCCCATAAAAGCATTATAATGGTGTGCTGCCACTTTGTTAGGCCATCTTTTCTTTTCTGTTTCAATTCTCATGCATCTTTCACTGCTATTCACTGGTACCCAGTATTCTACTACACTGGATAGTGATTTTTTTCAGTTTTATTCTACTGTGGATTCCCTCTGCCTGTATTCTATAATCTGTTTGTCAACCCTGCTCAACAAAGCATGTTCCTAAATATCCCCATTGTTAAATTTTCACCTCCTTTTAGTTAAGCAGTTCAAAAGACAATCCTGACTGTTTTGGGTTTTTTTTTCCCATAAAACTTGCAATTGCTAACCTGAACCTCTTGAAAGCAGCAGGTATTGTCCTCAACAGCAGCTGGCATCTCATCTTAGCCTCTCAGCTGAGGCACTACATCAGCATCAGCTGCGCTTAAATGCCTTCAAATGACAGAAGAAATAACATGAGCTGAACAAAAATTACAATGCAAATTCTAAGAAAACTATTTTGAGTGCACATCAACTGAAAGCTGAGAAACCATGCACACAAGTGGCTAGTCTGTCCAAAGCCAGCACATTGAAGAATTTGGTAAGTATAATGTAGTAGTAGTGCCACTGCTGTGTATTATAATCAGGTAAGTTACATTTACATCCTACTTTATGGACAACAAAAGCTAAATCCATATGAACAAACCACAGGGCTCATTCTGATTATTTGTTTTTAAACCCTGCTTGTTACCCACCAATTCCCAATTAAAATCTCAGTCCTGTATGGTGTTCAGTACCCTCACTTCCCATTGAAATTAATGGGATTCAAAGGCCTTCATCATGTTGAAGAAGCAGACCTTAAATGTGTTGCTGTCATAAGCACTGAATTATCTGGCAAGCTTCACCATGACTAACACCACCATTTGCTTCATTCTGCTTTTCAACAAAAACCCCCACAATCTGAGTGTACAGGCTTATGTTTATTTATAAAAATGACCTTTTATTAAAAATTTCACACAGCCTCCAATATACTAGCTATTAATTATAGCACACTGTACACAAATGATCCTTCACATTTCTTAAGTCTGCCTTCAGCACTAGATAAAGGCATAATGGTGGCTATGTGTAGGCTGGTAGCTAGAAAACAGTGCTTATGGAAGTACCAGCAGCAGCTCCAAACGTACTTTGGACATGTCTACACTGCAAACTTACCATGCCAGCTATGGGGCCCTCGAACATGGTGCACTGCCCTGCATGGTCTACCTACCAAATTGGAAGCAGCATAATTGTGTTCACTTGGCACTGCTATTCAGTCTGCCCACAGTGTCACCTGAGGCCATTCTACATGGAGTTATCTGATATGTTTGAAGGCACCACTGCCTGACAGCAAGTTTGCAGTTTGGACATGTTCTTTATTTCAGGAAAGCAGCCCCTCTCCTTTTAAAGAAAAGTTATTTACTTGTATTTGATGTATCCTCCCTAGATACATTTCTCTAATTGTAAAAGAAGAAATTAGAGGCAGGACGTCAATGCATAGCACACAATGCTGTCTTGGAAAAATTGTCTACTGCTGTAAAACCTTACACAAGAGGGAAGCAGAATTTTCTTGCATCCGTTCTTACACAGAAATCAGAGATATGACTAACTAGTTACTGGCAATTTAGGAACTTTCCCACAACCATTTTATTTTTGGCTTTCTACATCTAAAAACCAAACATGAAGACCATGTAGCCATATATGTGTATATTAAAAATATATAATGGTACAGGGGCGCAGGTGGTGTTTTCCTCTCTTCTTCCGGTGA